AATCACTAGGAAACGTCCGTCCCGAAATGCTCGCACTAGGGCCATAAAGAGCAATTTGTCTCTCTTATAATCATATGCCAGCAGGTGGTCATTATTCTAAGGAGTACAATGCCTGGGCCCCCCGCCGCACCCTATGGCCGTATCCTTTCCGCCTATAGTCTTATAAACGTCAATCAACTACCGGCCGCTTTTCTTTCGTTGCCGGAGGTCCTTTTTTGGCCCCCTCTGATTGATTTGTAACGCGGATCGAGCTTTTAACTCCAGGGGCCCGGCTAAATGACGGCTTTACTAATTGTTTCATTTATTGTTGGTTTTTTTACTGCTGTTACGACAATCGACACTTTCACAACCAAATATGGAACAAGAAAGAAATGCACCCTGAACTTTCTACCTGGAGATTTGTTGGTAATGCAACTAAACCATTGCAATAATCAGTGGGTGTCCGCATGTTTTCTTCTTCCCAGATCATTTTCTTCCTTCCCTGTGGAAAGGAAGATTGGATTGCCCAGAAACCAGTTGTCCGAATGTAGTCTCCCTTCCCAGCCTCTTTTTTCTTTTCAGTTGAAGAATTTTCCAAAACGCACAGAATATTTTCAATTTTGAACAAAAAAATTGGCTGATCAAGAACTTTTTGAATCCTTCCGGATCATCCTTGCCGGTTATTCTTGTGTGAGGCATTTTCCCGATATCATTGGGTGTCCACATGTTTTCTCTCCTCCTACCTCTTTTTTTTTTTTTTGTTGAAGTTGCCAGAAGGCACAGAATATTTTCAACCATCACTGCCGTCATTATCGATCTTATAAAAATTCAAAATTGGTGTTGAGTCCTACCTTACCACCCTATTCTGCCTATCATTGTTGTCCGCCTTTGCAAATTTTCATTGGGTGTCAGCATATTTTTCTCCTCCCAGCCAGTTCTTGTTTTCTTCTGCATTCACACTTTATCTAAAGGTGCGGACTATTTTCTACCTTGTTTTAAAACAAAAATTTTACAATTTTTTAAACGATTAACCTTGTAAACATTGACAAAAAACAGCAATAAAAATATTATTAAAGGGGCATTGGTGGCCGCAACGGTTTAGTGTTTGACACGGCGCTCATCACTGTAAGGTAAAGGTCCCGGGTTCGAATCCAGCGGCCCTGCATTCCAACCCGACATGCTTACAAGTTGCGAACCCTCGTAAAAAAAAAATTAAATAGGTGAATCATTATGGATAATTGTGTGATTAGTTGTTGGGTCATACCGGATAATCTGATCCGCAATTTTAAATTTTAATGTGTGTGCATGTACTGCCTCCTCCAAGCCCCTTTCTTGTTTTCCTGTAAAGAGATCTTTGTAAGAGACTTTTTCTAAAAGGGCAAAAAATATTTAAATATAAGTTCTGCGTAATTTCAAACCTTTTATTTAACTATTGACTTTGTAAACGTTGACAAACATAGAAAAAATGTTAAATAGGAGTGTGGCTAGTTGGTTGATCGGGAGATTTTTCGGTCTTAGCAGATCTGGTATGCCTCTCCTCTTCCAATTTTTCGGTGTATGATTGCATGTTCTCCCTTCCAACTCCTTTCTTGCGTTCCTGTGATCAGACTGTTTTCTGAAAGGCGCAAAATATTTTCTACATTATTTTAAAGTAAGTTCTGCGTAAATGCACGCCTTTTATTTAACTATTGACCTTATAAACATTGACAAAGGTGTAAAAAATATTAAATAGGAGTGTAGATAGTTGGGCGATCGGGAGATTGTTCGGTCTTAGCAGATTGCCTATCCTCTTCCAATTTTTCGGTGTATGTCTGCATGTTCTCCCTTCCAGTCCCTTTCTTTCTTCCCTGTACCTGGAATGTTTCTGAAAATACGGAAAATATTTTCTACCATTGTGTAGATGACAAGACAAGCAGACCTGTATTAAAAATGGGTTTAGATATATATATATATATACAGGGTGAATTGCTACTCGTGCTACAAACTTCTCCAGTAGATTCTTCACCCTAAAATGAACAAAAAAGTTCATATTGTCCATGGTCCGATTCTCAACCATTTCAGAGTAATTTCGCTTTTTATCGATTTTGAAAGATATCACGTCCTGGCGTCGGAAAATCGTGATATCTTTTAATCTAAACATTTCTCTTAAAATCTATAAGCACCGTTGAAATCCCCGTTAATTTTTAGAGAGAATCAAAATCATAATTCCATTGAAATTTTTTAATTTAATTTAATGCCCATTTAGTATGTAATGCTTAAGAAGTTTACAAACAGCTAGAAGGTCAAGGAAGAAAGACCCAAACGTTTTGCCACCTTCATCTTCTTATTGAAAAATTAACGGGGATTTCAACGGTGCTTATAGATTTTAAGAGAAATGTTTAGATTAAAAGATATCACGATTTTCCGACGCCAGGACGTGATATCTTTCAAAATCGATAAAAAGCGAAATTACTCTGAAATGGTTGAGAATCGGACCATGGTCAATATGAACTTTTTTGTTCATTTTAGGGTCAAGAATCTACTGGTGAAGTTTGTAGCACGAGTAGCAAGTCACTCTCAAACATTAGCAATCCTTGAACCACCATTTTTTCTCTTTTTGTCATCAACATCTTGGTCTCACAACCACTAAATAAGAAAATGACGAGTGCGTTGGAAGCGTTATTAAATCAGGTAGTTTTCCTCAAATTTGCTGCCTTCTGAGACTAAAATTAGAAACTCTGGATTACTTTATACACTTTCCGATTTACACAATTTTCCACTCTTTTTGTAGTTCTGGCTGAAATAAAACACAAAAAATTAGCCCAAACATTTTGCCACCGTCATCTTCTTATTGAAAAATTAACGGGAATTTCAACGGTGCTATTAGATTTTCAGAGAAATGTTTAGATTAAAAGATATCACGATTTTCCGACGCCAGGACGTGATATCTTTCAAAATCGATAAAAAGCGAAATTACTCTGAAATGGTTGAGAATCGGACCATGGACAATATGAACTTTTTTGTTCATTTTAGGGTGAAGAATCTACTGGAGAAGTTTGTAGCACGAGTAGCAATTCACCCTGTATATATAGATCATAATCGTCCTATTTTTTATGGAGTCGGGAAGGAGATGGTTAGGGATGGATGGTGGAGATGGTGGAGAGGATAGTTTTTAAAAACATATATACTCATGGTTTTTCTTTGTGGATTTATGGAATTTTTGTCTTGTTTGTACGTGTGTCGTTTTATGTTAGGTTTTTCTTCTTTCTTTGAGTTTGAGCAACTTCATGCATAAATTCCTATGAGTAAAGAGCCCCGACTGTTTACTCTTCTTCGCCTTTTCCCCTTTTTAATCGGATTATTGTAAATATTTGCAAAAGGGAGGGCGATTTCCACGGCTCCGGGCCAAGGAGAAGTGAGAGCCGAGTCGAAACTCGTAAAGGAATAAAAATGAAGCCGGCCCGGATGACGTGAGCGGGACCGGTGGGATACGGAGGACCGGTTTATCTTCGGGACTAGACAAGCTTTGAAAGTTGAAATTGGATTCGTCATTAATCATTGTGTGAAAGGTGTAGAGGAGAGGATGAGGCACCGGGTTTTCGAATCTGATAACCCCCAGCTCAAATCCCAAAACGGATCTCATCGGGGCCCGTGTTATTTCTCTCCCGGACATTGTTTTTTGACCGGCTGGCTGGCTGGAAAGTCAGACGAGGGCCGAATCGAGAAAGTATTTTTTTCCAACTCAACAATATGTAAAATAAAACGGAGGACGACGTGAAAAGTATGCGACGCCGAGGTAAAAGGGAGGAGAGGAATGCGGGAAAAAGGGACTGGAGACAAGGGTGAAATGATCCTTGAAAAACGATGAGAGGGAAAAGTCGCAACCCCTGTCTCACTACTTTTGTTTTAAATTTCAATATACAGTTTTGCTCTCCTGAGGAAAATGTCCTTACCTAATTGAAGAGGAAGTTCTGAAATTTCATTCTTCTGAATTTGATGGAGCACAAGAAAGGTTAACAAATAACCAACATTTGCAAATGACTCATCGCTCTGTGACAGACTATTTTAGTGGATGTCCGCATATTATTCCTCGACCTAGTCTTTTTCTACCTTTCTTTATCAAGCTACACTTTGTATAAGGCTTCTCTATCGATTTGACTTCTAAAAACAACTAGCATCCCTGGGAAAAACGTTCTTATCTGATTGAAAAATTTCTTTAATTTGAATTTTTAGACTTTTACAACGGAAGTTAATAGTAGACCAAAATTTGGAAGAGATTTCATATCATTTGTCTCATATCATCCTCCACCGCCCGGCATCGCTGTGTGACAGACGATTTCAGTGGATGCCTGCATGTTATGACTCGTCCTAGCCCTTTTCCACCTTTATTTACTAATGACATATCGTTGCTTCATAAGCAACAGCATTAGCTAAATTTTCGAATTTCATCATCCAGAATGGAACGTCTTAACTTTTAGACGTTTCCGATTGAAGTGGGTGTCTGTATATCATGCCTCCTCCTAACACCTTCTACCTTTTTTTAGAAAGCTAGATATTGTAGAAGGCTTTATAATCAATTTGACATAGAAGTCCTGTTTCGCCTAACCGCGCGTTCAGGGCTTAACAATTTCACCGAGTTTCCGCATGTTTCTCTACTTCTAGCCCCTATCTCTTGTTTCCCTGCGTCAGGAAGGTTTTCCAAAAAGCAGATAAATTATGGTCGATTTTTTTTAAAGCAAAAATTTTATTTGGGGTGGCAAATCTGTCCGTACGATTTAAGTTCGAAGAAAAAAGAAATAAACAATTTTGTGTCATATTTTGCAAGTCTGCAAAGGAATTTCATCAATTCCCTCGAATGGACAAAATCTTTGGGACCGTTCTGAATGAATAAACTGTACGTTAAAAAAAATTTCTTCTTAATACAACCGTACGCCGGGTCTACGAGTGGATGGACTGTTATCACCAGGTTGATCGTTAACGATCGTCTCTGGCCCGCCTGTTCTCGCTGTTTGACCCTTAGCAAGATGCTTATCGCCTCTTCGCCATCTTCATTGCCTTGTTTAAAAACCGAGACGATCAATCGACTTCAAAAGCCGGCAGATGGTGTATTTTCTTCCCCCGCTGAAATCCATTTCACGTCTGTAACAAGTGGTTTTTATTTTATTTATTTATTTTATTATTATTATAATAAAAAGGTTTAAGAATTGTTCAAATTCATTGATTATCGGTACCTGGTGGGGGTTGAATTAACATAATCACAGATCATCCAGCCGACTGACAGGGCCTTTGTTTAAATAGAAAATTATTATGCGCATATTTTTTCAATTTTTGCAACACCAGCAGCTGGGTTTAAATCGAAAGTGAATATATAAGTTGTTTTTTACTTTCCGACTGGACTGTATAAATTCGAATAATATTAACAATATGAACTCATCTCCATGACCCTTCGTGCATGGTTTTCACGGATGTTTTTATTTTTATTTACTTAGAAAAGGGACTTTGTTTTTATTATTCACACGTCTCCATAAATACCGTTAATATATGAAAATAAAAATAAAAATACAGCAATGATCATGATAATCTCTGATTGCGAGTAAAATTCTAATTTTCCAAGATTTTAAAAAGTTTTTCTTCTTCACAATTCCATCGTTGCCTAATGATTGAAATATAATTTCAGAAACTTCAAAACTGAAAAAATGTAATATTGTTTTTCCTTTTTTATCTTTTCTTGTATGATTTTTTTTTTTCATTCGTATGTGGTACAATATTTTCGATTTTAATTGTTGTTTTTCGTTATTTCTTCGTTCTCGTTATACTTTTTAAATTTTTATTATTTAATGTTTGCTCTGCTATTTGGGTATATATTGTATTTACTATTTTATCTTTATGTAATTGTTGTATAATTAATTTGCCACTACTATTAGCCTAGGTTGAATTTTTTTCTAGTTTGATTGCTTTGTAGTTAACTTTTAACGTTGGTTTTTCTATGTGTCTAGTTAGGTAACACATTTTCGATTTTAATTGTTATTTTTCGTTATCTCTTTGTTCTCGTTATATTTTTTAAAATATTATTATTTAATGTTTGCTCTGCTATTTGGGTATATATTGTATTTACTATTTTATCTTTATGTAATTGTTGTGTAATTAATTTGCCACTACTATTTGCCCAGGTTTAATTTTTTTCTAGTTTGATTGCTTTGCAGTTAACTTTAACGTTGGTTTTTTTATGTCTTGTTAGGTAATACATTTTTAAAGTTGATTTATAGGGTGGCGTCGGTGGCCGCAACGGTTTAAGCGTTTAGGCAATTACTGTAAGGTGAAGGTGCCGGGTTCGAATCCAGCGGCCCGCATTCGAACCCGACATACTTACAAATGGGGGGGGGAGTTGATTTATAGTGCCGTGTAATGGGAAGTTTTTCTTTCTTTTATTTCTTCTTGGGGAATTAATGTTTATCTGTTTATATGCCCTTAGTTACCTGGTTTTTAGTTAATGGCTTGTTATGTCTTGTTGTATATTTAATTTTTCAGATTTTTTTATTCAAAGAAGGAAAATTCGAACGATGGTCGCCTTGCACGATCGCATGGGGATAATTTGATTTGGCAACATCCCGAACTTTCTTATGCAAATATCTTCGAGGACTTTCCAAGACCTCGACACATACAAATTTTTATTCGATCGTCAAATATATACAAATTCACATTTTTCCTTTAAAAGAAAAAAAAAAAATACATCAATCGTTCGGTGAATTTTCCGAAAAAAAATTAATCCAGCTTGAAAAGCAGGCCACACATTTATTCTGGGATATGTTACGGAGAATGGGCCTTTGAAGGTCTTCAGAAAAGCTGCAGGTTGAAAATAAAAGGACGCCTAGGTTCCTTAGGCCAAAGGGGCAAAGTGTGATGCTCGCTAGCTGATCATAAGGATTGACCCACATTACTGAGTGAACGATGAGCACTCTGACAATAAGAGCGGTAGATTGTAGCTACAGGTCTTTTTATGTATTTAATTTTTAGCTATGAATTTTGATCTACCGCTCTTATTGTCAGTGCTCATCGTTCACTCAGTAATGTGGGTCAATCCTCTCCATTCCGATACCAACTCGTTAGCGATCAACGCATAATGTTGAATTGTCTTTACCATTATTCAGTAAATTTGAAAAATGGCAAAAAGGAGGGAAAATTCGAAAGGCTAGGTTGAGATGGGAAGTTGGTGTCCGAGTGGATCAAATTCACGATAGCTCAAGTGGTAAAGCAGCGGCGTATTTAGCTGGGTCGTGGGTTCGAATCCCGCTTGTGATACTGATTTTTTATCTCAACCAAAACCTTAATTAATTGAAAACTATTCAGTAATTTCCTTCTTCATTTTTTTTATGTTTATTTATTTTGTTTTAGTTGAAATTTAGTATTAGCAATAATACAAAAATGTTAGATTCAGGAATAGTTCATTTATTTCATAAAACAACTCTGTAATTCAGACTATCAACCTTTACGATTGGCCCTACCGCCTGCGCTCTGAAATTTGAAAAACCCGCGAGATTTTACTCATGGAATTATGGGTAAGACAAATTTGGCGAGCGTCCGCGGTGAGCTATAAAAAAGAGCTGGTACATTTCATTGAGTGAGCGGTTTTTCTCAGTGATCCTTAAAACAACATGGTTGTCCCATCTCTTCATTCTATCCTGTGACTCCTCCTAACCCTTGGTTACAAGGAGGGTATCCGGGCACAAAATAATAAAATAAAATAAAGCCCAGAGGACGTGGCAACCTCTCTAAAGCACAAGCTGTCTTGTGTCGGCCTGAGAGTCGGAAGGGGCGGCGGGTGCCTTAGCAGTCACACGAGGGCCAGTGCACTAGATCCTGTCTGCAAGGACGAGGAGGGTGTATGGCCATCTGTACCACGGGGTGACAGAATGTTTCCAAAAACCAGCCCTTGTCACATTGGGAACGGTTTCGTGATGGTACGTGATGACGCCCCTGGCGGGAACTTAGACAGAGGCTGTCTTCTATTTGTGACCTTTCGTGAAGCTTGCGTATGGCCAACGTAGTAGCCCGTGGTCCTCACGGGAGACGTTGCGACCGGACGACAGCATGTAAGCGTTGAGGACGTAATGATCATGCTACAGTCCCTCGAATGCGTAAGTAAGCGGATGGAAGCGGGTAGTGAGTCGGCGTCTTTGACTCGAGTATTCTTTGCATTGTTGTGCGTATGACCGGCGTGGTACCCTTGGGGAAGCGAAGGATCGGACCACCTAGGCTAGACCTATGGCGTCCCTCGAATGCGTGCAGCAGGTGTAGGCTGAGCTCGATAAGAGACTTTTACCGTAGACAGTGCTCATCTAGGGGGTGGGTAACAATTCCACTTTAAACTAAAACCGCTGCCGGGGCGTTCCCGGAAGTTTCTACGCTGGGGGAGCCTCTATACTCAGAGAGATAGAGTGGCCTTCTCTATCTAGGGATACGCGAGGGGGGGACGGGCTGATGTATTTCGGCCCGTTAGCCCCTTGCGTGCGGCGTACGACCCGACGCACAATGCGGGCCCGACCATTCGGAGTGGACAAGCGGAGAGTGTGGGTTACCGGCCCTTTGGGGCCGGGATACCACTACACCAATGCTGCGGCGGTAACAGCATTCCGTCGTATGCAGAAGTGCGTCAGCTCTCATCTTGAGAATCAAAACATCCGATAAGGCCGAAAAGGCTAGGTGCGGACGTTAAAGATCCTCTTGTCTTGTTGACGATGAGTACTCGGGAACGGAATGTCCCATCTCTACCAAAGAGTTCTAACATCATTAGCTCAAAGACGGTGCTGAATTGTAAAACTAAAGTACATACAGCTGACACCCTTGCAAGGAAAGGCGAGGCCGTACTGCTGATATGCCCTGAGTCCTTCTGTGGCACAGGGATTCATACTATCAATGTCCTTGACAAAAGGAATTCATTCATTGAACATAAACAATCCAAGAACCTTCTAACACATTTTGGAAGGAAATAAACAACGGAATGCCTCAAAAGAAGCAAGAAAAACATCGGATCCTAACAACATATTGCAAACTGTGGGCATCTGAGGAAGATTATAGGTATAAAACTACACGCAAGTGCAAATTCTGAACCTTGCAACAAACTGGCATCATATGTTCCCGCAGGATGTGTCTTGGGATGAAGCCCTGTTAGAAATTAACCTCTAAACCGTGCTAATCAAGTTCCTTGATAAACTAGGTCTTGTCGATTTGCTAGTAGCAAAGACCCCAGGGGGGGGTGATACTATAGTTCTTGGAGGGTCAGTATAGTATCCCCCCCCCCCGAATATACATGTATATCTTTATTCAGAACCCGAAAGATAAGGCATATTTTTACGTTTTATTTGAGAGGATTGTAAATAAAATCTATTTATATTTGTTCCAAATCTGATGATGGTAAGGCGATTCGGAAAAAATCTACTCCCTTTTATATATAAACTAAGTTCATTATGTCAAATTTACTCAATATTCTCCTCCTTTTTTTTGTAATGTTTGAAAATCGATCATTAACAAAACTGTGCTAGGAAGACATATTTCACGGATAATTTTACACGTTCATGGTTTAAACTAAATCTTCTTGATTTTGGTCTTTTCTGCCCCATTTTGCCAGGGTAATTTCAACTTATAATTGCTTTAAGCGGATTTTAAGATATTTCCACCAGTCCAATTTAATTGGATTAGGCCTCGAGCTGAAATTAGCCCGTTGTAATACCGTGAGACGAACGTGTCTTTGGAAATCGGAGAAAATTACATGCTACGAGCCTTAATTTACCGACCAGGAAACGCTATATTTAAAAAAAAAGGATAAACTACTTAGAAAAAAGGACTGGAATACTATTTTTTTTAACTCACTTATCAACTGTGATACATTTGCAGTTTTTGACTGTTCAAAATTTTTAACCTTGTTTCAATCAATCAATTTTCGATCAAAATTGACAGGCTGGTGGAATAATTGCAACTTAGAATTATGTAAAGGGATGGATTTTATATACAAAAATTCCGGGAAATCATATTTAAAGTATCATTTTTCTTGGAAATATTCTAGGGAGGCATAAACATTATCGAGAATTAATTTAACAACATAAATTGAAAAAAAAATCTTTCAGTTAATTAATCTGTATG